CTGAGATCGTGCCACTGCACTCCAGCCTGGGCAACAGAGCAAGACTCTGTCTCAAAAAAAAAAAAAAAAAAAAAAAAAACTATGGCAAGAGAAGACAGTCAAGCAAGTGAGCTACAGAGACAATGATCAAGATGAAAGTTTGAAATGGAGATTTCTTAGGTTTCCAGACATGACAATGTCTAGGACATGATGCTAGGATGGGTCAGTCTTGGAAGAAGAGGTCTCCAGAGAAATCTGCAACATGCAACTGTCAGGTAGGATTCAAGAGAAATTCCCACCAATATTCTCCTACAACTGCTGGTAACAGAATGCTTATCTAGAAGACAGCAATTCAGACCCACTTCCCCTTTGGATGCAGCAAGTGGAGGGAGGGCGAGCCCTGACCCCAAGGATGAGCCAGAGCAGGACAAATGATAAAATCCTATCTCTGGGCCATTGGAGGGCTGAAGTGACCAGGCTGCCGGAGGGAATTACACAACAAACTGCAGCAGCCCCTCCAGGGAGAACGGGACACACTTACTGTTTCACCTTTGGCAGAGGAAGGAAAGTGGAAGGAGGCCATAAAAGTGGTTAGAAAAAAACAGCTGCACTTTAAACAAATTCTGAAAGGTTGAGAGTGTCAAGTGTGGGAGTTTAACTCCTGGAAAGCCGCAAAAGAAACGTTCCCACTCATTCCCAGGAGACCTGCGCCCAAGTCTCCAGGCTAATCCACTAGCTGAGAGGAAGGGAGCATGCCTTTCTCCTTGTCCTGGAGAAAGGCATGTGCCACACACAGGTCAGGACCAGCACAAGACATGGGGCCGGTCAGACCCCTGCAGATACAAGGCAGAGTCTGGCTGCCACCGGGCAGAGGCAGGCTCGCTGGGAAAGCTGCCCACAAGGCCGTGAGCACAGAGCTGCCCAAGAGTCAGGCTAGAGGAGGGCACTGAGAAGGTGCCACCATCGGAGAGCTTGCCAAGGAGGTAGGAGAGAGAAACTCCCCTCTACAGGCCCACACAAGCACACACAGTGCTAGAGACAGCCCAGCTGATGCCGACTGGACTGACCTGGCCTCCCAGGTGCACAACAGGAAACAACTTCAGCCTGATGCTCTCTGCACACTGTCTGGCATTTGACCAAACAGAACAAGAGAAAGAGAAAGCAAGAACCAAGAACGTTTAAGGAAGAGATAATACCAATTCTAACACACTCTTCCAGAAAAGAGAAGAAACGGGAACACATTCCAACTCATTTTATGAGGCCCCAAAGACCACTATAAGAGAAGAGGCCTACAGACAGATAGCCTTCATGAGCACAGATGCAAAAATCATTAACATAACTTTAGCAAATCAATCCAGCAACACATAAAAAGGATGTCCACAGAAAGAAAAATAATATTCATAGCAGCTTTTTTCAAAGTAGCCCAAATGTGGGAGCAAACAAACATCCATCAATTAATTGGTGAATGCATAAATTGGTTTATCTGTACAATTACTCAATGAAAAAGAGAAACTACGGATGCATGCAACATTTTGGATGACTCTCAAAAGTATCATGCAAGTTACAGAAGTGTATGTGACACTCTGGAAAAAGCAAAACTGTAGGAACAAAAATCAGGTCAGGCTGGATGCGGTGGCTCATGCCTATAATCACTATGGGAGGCAGAGGCAGGCAGATCACGAGGTCAAGAGATCGAGACCATACTGGCCAACATGGTGAAACCCCGTCTGTACCAAAAATACAAAAATTAGCTAGGCGTGGTGGTGGCGGGCGCCTGTAGTCCCAGTTACCGGGGAGGCTGAGGCAGAAGAATTGCTTGAACCCGGGAGGCAAAGATTGTAGTGAGCCAGGATAGTGCAACTGCACTCCAGCCTGGGTGACAGAGCGAGACTGTCTCAAAAAAAAAAAAAAAAAAAAAAATTCAGGTCGGCGGTTAACAGAGGCTAGGGCGGGGAAAGGGAAGTGACTACCAAGAGGAACAAGAGAACTTTATGGGGTGATGCAAATGTTCTGTAGCTTAACTATAGTAGTGAACATTTTTTAAGCAAAAAAAAAGTGAATCTTAATGGAAGGTAAATTATATTATTTTTTTAAAGGCCAGCTCCAACAAAGAAGCCGACCTACAAAGCAACAGATGGTCTGAGTCCACAAACACAGGTCAGCACTACACCTCTGCTGTTCCCAAGGTCACTGTTTCTGGTGAGGACAGAAACGCTCATTTGACAAACTATCCATTACCAAGACAAGCCAGGGGCTGGGAAATGAGATCCTCCCCCAACCCAGGCAAGATGAACTGCAGGGAACCATAGGCATTTCCACTGGCCTCTGAACCAGGGCAAACAGCAGAAGCTTGTTCCCAAGGGCAGAGGCAGGCTAAAATACAAGAGCCTGGCTGGAATTGGAAGAAGAGCTGACAAAGTTTAAGGAGAAAACAAACAAACAAAAAAAACACCACAAAAAGCAAAGCAAATGGTATTGGTAAACAAACGAACGAAAACCACACAAAGAAAACCATAAAAATAGCTGCCTTTGTGGAGTTTATATTCTAATGAAGAAGAAAGCAAACCAAATGAGTAAGTAAAATACATAGTATGTTAGAAATAAGTGCTAGTGCCGGGCACAGTGCCTCACGTCTGTAATCCCAGCACTTTGGGAGGCCAAGGTGGGCGGATCACAAGGTCAGGAGATCGAGACCATCGTGGCTAACACGGTGAAACCCCATCTCTACTAAAAATACAAAAAAAAAATTAGCCGGGCGTGGTGGCGGGCGCCTGTAGTCCCAGTTACTAGGGAGGCTGAGGCAGGACAATGGCGTGAACCTGGGAGGCGGAGCTTGCAGTGAGCCAAGATCGCACCACTGCACTCCAGCCTGGGTGCCACAGCGAGACTCCGTCTCAAAACAAAAAAAAAAAAAAGAAAGAAAGAAAGAAAGAAAGAAGTGCTAGGAAGAGAAGTACAGCAGGAAAGGGGGACGTGTGGGAGGGACCAAGTGAGAAAGTAATTCAGACAATGAGACCCCAAGGATAGAAACTGGCCCTGGAGATGGAGCACGCCTCTAAGGCCAGAAAAGATGGAAATCCACACCAGGCAGTGGGGACATGTTCTTCAGACTGTCACCAGGACTTCCCCAAGGCAGTTCTGCAGGAGAAAACAGAGGAGCAGGGAATGCACATGCTTCCTGGCTGCACATAGCAAGGTATCAGAAGGAAAAGAAGAGCTCAGACAATAATTAGCCACTTGCAAGCAGAAATCAAAGGGCACAGAAGAGCCCTAGAATGTGGGACCTCACACAGTTGCAAAAGCCAACTCCTTCCAGATCCCAAACAGCACATGTGAAAGCCTGCCCGCAACAAGGGCCCACCAAAACTCCATCCGGTCAAAGATGAGAGTAAGGGTGTGGTCTTCCCAGCCAAGCCTGCTGGCCTTGCTGTGGCCTCCAAGAGGCCGAAGGGGCACAAACAAGTAAAGGGGAAGGCCAGGCTTAAGAGCTGCCTCGGATAAAGAATTAACCTGCATGTCGAATTGCCGAGAACTAAACACAGGAAAACTGTACTCCCTTTTCAAGAAACTGCACCACCAAAGAAATACTAAGCTCAAAGCCAAAAATCACCCTTCAGGGCCACAAAGCTTGACGACTGAATTATGCCCAGACAAGGAAGACAGGTGTCCTGCCACCTACAGCAGTGTTGGCAGGGAAGACCAGGAGGAACAGACTAGAAGGTGGTGCAGGACGGAGTGCCCTCTGAAGCAAAAGCAAATCCATTTCTTTCACTGCCAGCTGGCCCCATAACCTGGGGTCGGGGGAGCCAACACCCTGCGCTGCCTGTGCTGGCAGCCACTCACCACTGGCTGGTCAAGGCCGCCATGCCTCTCCTCCTTCTCCACGGTCCTGCGACAGTCCGGGCACACCCATAGCGGCAGGTGCAGCACACTGTTGCCCTTGGGAGCCATGGAAAGGGCCAATTTGCTCGCAGTCTTAATTCCACTCTCTAAGAATGAGGAGTCTTTCCGTTCACTTCTGCACAGAAGACAATAATCCCCAGCGGGGTAGGGTGGTGTCCTATGATTCATGCCAAAACTAAAAGGAGTCTGGAATAGAAAAAAAAAAAAATTCTATTTTCAAAACCTCATCTATAAAGCCAATATTAAAATACATGTATAGTTGTAAAACTAAAACTAAAATGCATGTGTATGCTTATATACAGAAACATAAAATAGGACATTTATTGAATAAAACTAAACCTAATGTTCTAGAAATTCATAATACTTCAAATAAAATAACAGTGCCATAAAGAAAATCTTAGATAGTACGAGTTAGAAAATTGTCCAATTAACCCCTTCACCTTGACTTCTGTATTACTTTTCCACCACATGCTAGAAATTATCAGCCTCGATTTTCAGACTGTTTACCAGAACTGGTTACCACCAACAAAGTCTGAAACCACTATTCTAGAGGCGTCTGTATACCAGGGCTCAGGCCCAAGATGGCAATTCTGGCTTAAGTGTGTCTGCAGATCTAAACCATCTCTGAGGTGGGCTGTCCAAATTCCAGATTCAAGATAAACAAGGAAATGATGGCAGCTGCACATCCAAGGCCCAGCCTCCCATCCAGGCCCAGCAATAATGATGCTGAGCTCATCTCCTATCACCTGATGTAAATAAACATCTGCATTTTCAAATAGGTCCTACAATGTGGGGCAAGGGGAAGAGGCCTTAGAGGTAGAAGAAAAAGGCAAGATTATTACACCTTAAAACCTCTCAAAAGATAACCACCCACTCTATCAAAAAATAAAATAAAATTAGCGTTTAAAACACAAATACAGAAAAAGAAACTGAAGGCTGGGCACAGCAGCTTACGCCTGTGATCCCAGCACTTGGGGAGGCAGAAGTGAGATATCATTTGAGCTCAGGAGTTTGAGACCAGCCTTGGTAACATAGCAAGACTTCGCCTCTACAAAATATCCAACTATTAGCCAGGCGTAGTGGTGCACACCTGTAGTTCCAGCTACTGGGGTGGCTGAGGTGAGAGGATTGCTAAAACCCAGCAAGTTGAAGCTGTAGTGAGCTGTGATCATGCCACTGCACTCTAGCCTGGGTGAGAGGGCAAGACCCTGTGTCAAAAGAAAGAAAGGAAAGGAAAGAAAGGAAGGAAAGAAAAAGGAAAGGAAAGGAAGAAAAGAAAGAAAAGAAAGAAGAGAAAAGAAAAAAGAAAAGAAAGAGAGAAAGAAAGAAAGAAAAAAAGAAAGGAAAAAAGGAAAGAAAGGAAAGAAAGGAAGAAAGGAAGAAAGGAAGAAAGAAAAAGAAAGAAAGAAAGAAAGAATCGGTCCATCCAGCCTGGCCAACATGGTGAAACCCTGTCTCTATTAAAAACACAAAATTAGCCGGGCATGGTGGTGTGCACCTGTAATCCCAGCTACTCAGGAGGCTGACACAGGAGAATCGTTTGAACCAGGAAGGTGGAGGCTGCAATGAGCCGAGATCACGCCACTGCATTCCAAACTGGGCGACAGAGCAAGACTCAGTTTCAAAAAAAAAAAGACAATAAAAAAAAGAAAAAGAAAGAAACTGAGTCTCACACGCCTGGAAATGGGGGTAAAGTCCCAAGGTCAGCAAGTGTGGGGCTGGGGGGGAGACACAAGATTTTAACCCCTATCAACCCAATCCTAAGACGGGTCCTTCACACAGGGCTACCTCTGCACCTTAGGAGGAAGCGCCCTTGAACTCTGAGGAGAGGCTGGAGAGACGCACTCCCAGGGAGCAGGGCAAAGGGAAGCCTCGCCTGGCATTCCAGAGGCAGCCAGAACCAGGGCACACAGTGAGGTGGAGGGGTGAGAGAACCCCCGCTGGTCTCTCCTGCCATGTGGGGTGCCCTTGCTGCAGGACATGCCAGGTGAGAAGAGAGCAGACCTGGCTGAGGCTGTTCTGGCTTTTCAGTCTCCATCTCCACCCAAAAGCTTCTCCAAGGCCGGCCAGCCCCACAGCTCTTCCCACAGCCTCGAGCTGTCTCCCTATCCCGCCACCCAGTGGTATTCAAAAGGACCCAGTGTGCATGACAGATTGGCCCCTCAACGGCCACTGAGGGCTCTCATTTGGACACCAGGCTCCATTCTTAAGACTTCCTGCTGACTGGCAGGAAGCACATATTTAAACAAGGGGCTGAATACATAAGTAAATGAATTAGTGATTGAAAGAATGAATGACAACACCAGCAAGACTCGAAAGATGTTCATATATATTCTCACGTTTCCATGACCCAGTGATCAAAACTGCTGACTCCTGTTACATCCACAGGGTTCAGAGTTTTCCCGAACCCAGCTCAGCAGCCATCCTGAGCTGAATGTTCAGGGCACAGGGGCAGAGAACTGGGTCCTACCTCCCCACAGTGTCCTAGGGAGCGCCAGACTACTCAAACCACTGAGTACCATGAGAATCCATGTATTTTTCCATACCAACAAATCCCAAAAACCTAAATGATGACCCCCCCAAAAAAAAAAAAGCACATCGATTTACCCCCATATAAAGCCATCTCTTTCCCTCAGGTCTTAGAAAACAGCTCCCATTGCTGGCAGAACAGCCACACCCATCAGAGCTTTCTGGCCTGCCCTTTTAATCACAGAATGAGATGCTGGGCTCTACAGACCCAAAGGTCCCCAAGCCTGAAATCATAATGTAAGAGCCAGAAATGACCAGAGAGACTAGAGGGCACACAGCTCAGCTCCCGGACATTCAGCAGTCATCCAGGATTTACTGAGCCCACCACATGCTCAGGGACTGGTCCAGGCACTGGGAGCACAATGGTGAAGAAAACTGTCAAAGACAAAGGCAATAAATAAGACAAATACATGAAAAATATTAACTAATTAAACATTGATAAGGAGAAAAACGTTAACAGCAAAGAGGATCTGTGCCCTTTAATCTGGTGGCCAGTGAGGGTCTCCTTGAGGAGACCCCTGAAACCCACATGGCTGTACCTTGTGGGGAGCCCAGTGGCTGGCATTGGGCTGGCAAGAGCAGAAGGGGAGATGGAGGAGAGCTGAGGGCCACTCAAGTCAAGGCGTGACTCTGAGGCTGCGTGCAGAGAGACGGGATGGGAGAATGGGAAGAAACGACTATCTGCAACTTAGGAGCCAGACGGCAACAGCTTGGACCAGGGCTGCGGGAAGGGAAGTGGACAAGGCTGTGAACGAGCCACCTGTGAGGTGTGAGAGGAGGAGAAGAGCCACGGGCAAGCATGAAGCGTCAGGTGCTGGGTATTTTTTCATTCCTTCAGTTTCTGAGCTTAGTCGTGGGCCATAGTAGGGTTGTTTGGGAAGAGTCTGGTCCTTTTAGGGCTTATAGGCTCTGTAAGGCAGCATAGGAGCGCCTTTCCTCTTCTCCACAACTGAGGCAATATCCCCCTGAGCTGCCACCCAGGGTCCTACAGGTTGTAAGATTTTCCCACAATGGCTGGTGGGAACACACACTGCTCCTGGCCCTGTGTGAGCTCCTAGGTTTGTCCCGCTCCTCACTTCCAGGATGCTAGCCCAGGCGCAGAGAGCTTCCCCACATGCACGTGCTTACGCGCCCTCAACTGGGCTTGAGGAGAATCCTATGTAGAGCTCTTCCTTCGCCTCTTTGCAGTTCTCTCCGCTCTGGTACTCTGCTCTGCAAATTTACTTTGGCCTCCCCAAAGTCTCAACTCAGCCTTCTCAATCAAGGAGATCCTCAGGCTCGGTCTGGGCAGCTCTCCAAGTCCTAACCTTCAGACTCTCTCCAGGCAGGAAGCCTGGGCAACGCTGGGGCTTGCTGCGGTTATTCTCCTTCTCCCAGGGATCACTGTCCTGCCTGCCTGTGGTCCAATGCTGGAAAACTACTATTTGGTACATTTTGTGTTTTGTTTCATTGTTTGAGGAAGGAAGATAAATCCACTTTTAGTTACTACCTCTTGCTTGGAAGCAGAAGTCTAGTTACATTCATATTTTTAAAAATAAATGTACCAGGCTGGGCATGGTGGCTCATGCCTGTAATCCCAGCACTTTGCGAGGCCGAGGCAGGCAGATCAAGAGGTCAGGAGTTCAAGACTAGCCTGGCCAAATCGGTGAGACCCCGTCTCTACTAAAAATACAAAAAATCAGCCAGGTGTGGTGGTGCACACCTGTAATCTCAGCTACTCAAATTGAGGCAGGAGAATCACTTGAACCCATGAGGCGGAGGATGCGGTGAGCGGAGATCGCACCATTGCATTTCAGCCTGGGCAACAGAGCAACACTCCGTCTCAAAAAACAAAACAAAAAAAACATACACACACACACACACACACACACACACACCCCAGAATGAACGTTAGACTAGTATCATCCCTCAAAGCCTACACACACATAGACGAAATATGTAAATACATAAAATGTGTATATATATCCATGTAAGGGACCAAGATAACTCAGAAATTTTTGCATAGGAGAATATGGACATATGGCTAAGATGGCAGTATTGCTGAAAACACTTTGGGAACACTACTAACAGCTGAGTTCTACATCTATGATGTATTTTACCTTTTCTGAATAAACTGATTTTCTACCACCCAGTGATTGTGGCCTGTGTGCATGGGGGTGGGAGGTGTGTGTGTGTATCATAAAAGACACTAAATCATAATAGCATTTGTTTTCTTGCTAGGCTTATATTCTAGTTTTGAACTTTGTTTCCAAAATGAAATTCCAAATTAAACATGAAAACTCAGACTTACTAAAAATACTTTACAGATAAACTTCTTATAAACATGAAGAAAAAAGGGCATTTTAGGGCTAAAAAAACAGTAAAAGCAATATCCTCTCCGGTAACGGTAGCACAACCCAGATTAGACCACCCCACGAAGGCTAAAGCAGGAGGCACACAAAACAAAGGCCCCGTGCTGGTGACACTGCCACCTCCTGTCGACTGGCCTTCAGGGCTGTCTGCTCCCCACATGTCCTCCATCTCCTGTCAAAACCCCCTCACACTGTACCTATGACCAGAACATTCTCTGCCTTAAACCCTTCTATTGTTCCTGCTGCCTAAAAAGATCAAGTCCTCAGCAAAGGATCAAGCAGGATACACCAGGCCCTTGGTCAGTG